TTCTTATCATAAAAGGGTTTTGAATTTTGTCAAATGTTTTTTCTGCGTCTATTGAGAGAATCATATGGTTTTTGTTTTTGCTTCTGTTTATGTGGTGAATTACATTTATAGATTTGCATATGTTGAACCATCCCTGCATCTCTGGGATGAAGCCCACTTGGTCATGATGGATAATTTTCTTAATAAGCACCTGGATTTGGTTAGCTAGAATTTTGTTGAGTATTTTTGCATCTATATTCATAAGGGATATTGGTCTGTAGTTTTCCTTTTTTGTTGCATCCTTTCCTGGTGTTGGTATCAGGGTTATGTTGGCTTCATAAAATGTGTTGGGGAGGATTTCATCCTTCTCAATGTTGTGGAATAATTTCTGCAGGATAGGCACCAGTTCTTCTTTGTAGGTGTGGTAAAATTCGGGTGTGAAATGTTCTGGTCTGGGACTTTTCTTTTTTGGAATGTTTTTTATTGCTGTTTCAATTTCAGTCCTTGATGTTGGTCTGTTCAGGAATTCTATTTCTACCTGGTTGAGCCTAGGGAGGCTGTGTGTTTCTAAAAATGTGTCCATTTCCTCCACATTTTCCAGTTTGTGTGCATAAAGGTTTTTGTAATATTCATAGATTATATCTTGAATCTCCTTTTTTGGCATTCTCCTTTTTTGTTCCTGATGGAACTTATTAGAGATTTTTCTTTTCTGTTTTTCATAAGTTTTGCCAAGGGCATGTCAATTTTGTTTATTTTTTCAAAGAAACAACTTTTTGTTTTATTAATCTTTTGTATAGTTTCCCTGTTTCCAATTTCATTTAGTTCTGATTTGATCTTATTAATTTCCCTTCTTCTGCTGGGTTTGGGGTCATTCTGTTCTTCTTTTTCCAGTTCTTTGAGTCGATTCATTAGGTTGTCTGTTTGTGATCTTCTTGACTATTGGATATAGGCATTTATGGAAATAAACTTTCCTCTCAGGACTGCTTTGGCTATGTCTCACAGATTTTGATAACTTGTGTCACCTTTGTCATTTAGTTCAAAGAATCTTTTGATTTTCATCTTTATTTCCTTGTTTATGAAATAATCGTTCAGCAGAAGGTTGTTTAATTTCCATGACTTTGTATAGAGATGAGAGTTTCTGTTGGGGTTGATTTCTATTTTTATTCCATTGTGATCTGAGAAGATGCATGGTATAATTTCTATTTTTTTAAATTTTTTGAGATATTCTTTGTGTTCTAGAATATGATCAATCTTAGAGAATGTCCCATGAGCTGATGAGAAGAACGTATGTTCAGTGGTTTTTGGATAGAATGTCCTGTAAAATGTCAGTCAGGCCCATTTGTTCTAGAGTTCTGTTTAAGTCCATTATTTCTTTGTTAATTTTCTGTTTGGAGGATCTGTCCTGTGCTGTCAGTGGGGTGTTGAGGTCTCTGACTATTATGGTGTTGCTGTTTATCAATTTGTTTAGATCAAGTGGAGTTTGCTTTATGAATCTGGATGCACCCAAGTTGGGTGCAAACATATTTATAATTGTTATGTCTTCTTGTTGAACTGTACCCTTCACCATTATATAGTGGCCCTCTTTGTCTTTCATTACTTTTGTTGATTTAAGAACTAAGTTATCTGAGATCAAAACTGCCACACCAGCCTTCTTTTGGCTTCCATTTGCTTGAAATATTGATTTCCACACCTTTACCTTGAGTCTAAATGCATCCTTGCAGGATAGATGCATTTTCTGAAGACAGCAGATACTTGGCTTGTATTTTTTTATACATTTGGCCAGCCTATGTATCTTGAGAGGAGAGTTCAAGCCATTCACATTTATTGAGAGAACTGATAAGTGGGGTAAATTACTGTTCATTCTGTTGAGTTGCATTTTGTTGCTTTGTTTTCTCTCTTGAGCCATTGTGGAATCTAGCCTTTGATCTTTAGCTTTTGAGTGGTTTTACATTCGTGAGTGTTTATTGTGCCGATCCTTATGTAATTCTGTTTTGAGTACTTCTTGGATAGCTGGTCTTGTCTTGGTGAATTCCCTCAGTCTTTGCTTATCTGAGAATGTCTTTATTTCTCCTTCATATATGAAACTTAGTTTCGCAGGGTACAAGATTCTAGTCTGGGCATTCTGTTTCAGAAGAGTGAGACTGGGGCGCCAGGCTCTTCTTGCTTCTAAGGTTTCAGTTGAGAAATCTGGAGTTATTCCCATGGGGTTTCCTTTGTATGTTACTTGCTTCTTTCGCCTTACAGCTCGTAGTAGGGCCTCTTTAGTAGATATTTTGGTCAATGTGATGACTGCATGATGTGGTGTCTATTTTCATTGAATCTCCCTGGGGTTCGCTGAGCTTCTTGTATCTGTATATCTAGATTTTTAGCAAGGCTTGGGAAATTCTCCTCTATTAAATCTTCAAATAGCTTATCCAGCCCTTGAGTGTTTTCTTCTTCACCTTCCGGAATCCCTATCACCTGCTGGTTTGGTTTTTTCACATAATCCCACTTTTCTTGTAGGATTATTTCTTTTTTCTTTATTTTCTGTTCAATCTCTGTGACTGACTTATTCAATTGGAGGGAGCTGTCTTCAATCTCTGAGATTCTTTCTTCTGTTTGATCTACCCTGTTCTTGAGGCTTTCCACTGTGTTTTGTAGTTCCCTGAATAAGTCCTTCATTTCCAGGAGGTTGGTTTGATTTTTCTTTAATATTTCAATTTCTTTAGTGAATTTTTCTTCCAAGTCCTGGATTTTTTTTTGTGGTTTCTTTGTGTTGGTTATCCATTTTTTCTCGCATATCATTGAGTTTTCTTACAATCCATGTTTGGAATTCTTCTTCTGTCATTTTAGTATTCTGGACTTTGTTAATGTTCATTGCTAGAGAGCTGGTGTTCCTCTTTGGGGATGTGCTTTCCATTTGATTTTTCATACTTCCAGAGATCTTTCTCTGGGTCCTTCCCATCTGGATCAGCTGTTGCTTCTCTTCTTTCAGTTTTCGTTTGGAAAGTAACACGTAGTGTGTGTTATCTGCTTCAGTAGATGTGTTAGCCAGGCAGATCGCAGGTGCCGCCTATTAGCCTGGATGTGTGCACTTCTATGATTACTTGATCTGCCACTAGAGGGTGCCGATAGTATGCTGTTCAGGGTTCTACCACTGCTGGGAGGCTGCTCCTGATGGGAGGGGTTACTTGGGGAACTTGTTTTGGTCTCTTGCCAGGATTTTTGTTCCCTAACCAGGGACCTCACTGTTGGTAGCTGACCAGAGGCGGAAATCCAGCCCCAGAGATGGGATCCTACTGGAGACCTAAACCCATCTGACGAGGAAAGTCACTGGGCTGTCAGCTATTGGTCAGCGCCACAGCCCCAGAGACTGAAGCTTGTCTCAGAGGGAAAGTGGCTCTTTATGTCTCACTGCCACAACCCCAGAGGTGGAGCCTACCACTTTCCCCCCAAAAGATGCTGGCTAGGGAGAGGGTGTGCTGCCCCAGTTCGCCCAGCGCCTGCAAGTCCCCCAGGCATTAGCCTCCCACAGCTGAGGAAGTATTCAGAATTCACCCTTCAAAAACGGGCCAGGCTGGTCGACTTTAGGTCCTGCAAGGGCAGAGCTTGTCGTGACATTTCCCGGGCTGGGGAAAGGGAGCTGCCCCACACCGTATCGCACCGCAGCCGCAGTGTTGTGGGTCCCGAGAATGGCGATCACCCGCCCACGGTGCACCAGCACTGGAGGCGACGGATCAGGGGCTGGCAGGAGCCAGATCAGGGAGCCGAGTCATCAGGGTGCCCCGTTGTCTCTTTTGTCACCCTTCCCCAATCTCACACCTGTCCAGCAGGAGTTCTCGCTCTTTCTGACCCACCCTAAGCAGTCCTAATCGCCTGCGGCAGTTTCCAAGTTAGAGTCCTCTACTTAGTAATCACGTCCTTGATCTGGACCCGCTGGGTGCCAGAGACCAGCTTCCTGACTCCTAACTGCCTCCGGAGGTAGCCCAGACCAGCCCCTCCCCTGTCCGGCGCAGTCCTGACAGGAGCTCCGGGGAGTTCAAGATGCTTCCTGCTCGTGTCCCCTCTCCACAGAGCTCCACGTCTCCTGCCACGATTCTGCACCACTTCACACAAGGTCCCTGTCGTGACGGGCTTGTAAGTCAGTGGGGAAACTAGACTGTCTCTTGAGAGTCTTATCGCACTGCACTTGCTGGCCAGGCAGGCGCAGCCGTCCCACGCTCCACTCTCTATTGTCTGTCTCGCACTCTCCAGGTTTCGTGTTCCTATCTCCTGTTCACCTTTTTTTTTCTTTCTTGTTTTGTGTGTCCCACACTGAATCTCCGCCGATTCACCTCACTGTTTTTGCGGGAGAGCGATCCATTCAGGTGTAGCAGACAGAGATCTACGCCCCTTTCTCTGGGAGCAAGAATCCGTGAGGTTACTTAAATTCTGCCATTTTTTCCTCCATCTGAAAGTTGTTTTATATACTGTAATTTTGATAAATAGTTCCAAATTATTTAGATTATATCTTTAGAGATGGAGACAAAATGCATTTCCAGCTGCTGCTCAGAAAGCTTCTCGAGTAATCTGAATCTGTTTAAAAGGCATGCAGAGGGGGAAAGAGAGAAGCTGTCAGAAACTCAAGTTTCAGAACCTTCTATTTCAGTGGCTATATCAACCTTTCTGTACATCAGAATCACCTGGAGAACTTGACAAATTATCTAAGTTCCAACACCAGAAATTCTGACTTAATTGATCTGAAGTTGGGCCTGGACATTGGTGTTTTCAAAAATCAACCTTAGAGATTCCAATGTGTAGTCAGTGCCTAGAATTGCTGCTTTAGATAGAGAAATGGGAGGTAGAAATAGAGGCCTCTGGTAAAGAATATAACAAACATCACTAAGATTGTGCCCATGAAGTAAATGAGAAATGAAGATCAATCTCCTACACAAAAAGTCACAGGTCAGGTTTGGGGAAGAGAAGAGGAGGGGAAGGAACAGCAGAGCTGGTTGGGCCAGGTCCTGTGGCCACTTTGGGTGCTGGTGGCAGAGACTACTCTTTCAGGTAACGATGAACTTGAGGCCGAAGCCATTTCCAGGCTCTTCTCAGCCCAGGACTGTCCTGAATCAGTAGAACTGAGTGACCAGCAGGGTAGGCAGCTATGATGATTTTTGCACAAAATAGTCCAGAAACTGTAGACATCAAAGATGTTGGATATATAGAGAAATAGAGCCACTGCATTAACAATGTAGAGAATGAGGAAATAGCTAGTGGCTCTGATGGTGCCCACGTGAGCCTCCATGCTGGAGTCCCTGGAGCCGGTGACATTGCTTCCCATGTGTAGGGTGTGTCTCTTGAGAGAGAGGATCAGCAGGGTGGCTGCCAGGATGAACATGATCAGAGGAACCAAGATCCCCAGGTTATAGAAATAAGCCAGGTTGACCACATAGGTCTCAGAGAAGTATTTTTTCTTCCTGGAGTTGGAGGAGGGGATAGGAAAAGAATTATTGCAATACACGGTGTAGATGTCTTTGTAGAAGAGCAGGCCATGGCTGAGGGAAATGAACACTGATAGCCACAGAAGCCAGGGCATCAGTGCAGAAATTCTCCACTTCAGCTGGAGGAAGAGGGGGGTGGGAGAAATTGACAATCTTCACATAGTAGAAGAAACTGAGCCAGGCAGCGAACCACAGGCTACAAAAATTTAAGAACAGGAAGCTTATTTTGAATGCATCATACACAGCATCTTCATAGTAAAAACTTAGAGAGGTTGAGCTGAAGGTAATTTCTAGCATCATGAAGATTTGAAGAGCTATTCTGGATACACTTAGGAAAAACAGGATCCTGCCACTCGTGGAAACTACCTTATTCTGGACCCATTCAGCTGCGTTTATACCCGCGATGAACCCATTTGCAAGAATACCAATGATGCACTCAGTGCCTATAACTGTTAAAAGTAAGATGATGAGAAATGATGACAATTCCTCTTCTGAAGGACTGTAGGCTTCAGTCATCCTGAGCTGTTGCCCCTCTTTGGTGTCCGGGGGACAATGCCTCCCTAGATTCTTGATAGCTCCCACTATTCATGTCATAGGAGAAAGCTGTTGATGCATGATTTCCAAATTTGCTTCATTTGTTTATCTCAGAATTCTTAGCCCTAAATGTAGAGATGCAAATGATGGAAGGATTTGGTTGCTATTCCTCTCCCTATTTTCGAACATGTTGGTGTCAGTTCAATATGTCTCTAGGGGGCCTGGAGAAGCACTTGAGTAGACTCCTTTATAAAGCACTAACCTGCTATTGAGAGCAGTATTCTTTGGTAGCTTCCATTAATTTGAATATTGGCCCACTGAGTCACTATTTAACTTAGTTTCACTTAATTTGTGACCTCAGGAAATGATTGAAAATAATGATAATAATAACTGCTACATAATACTGTTATGTATACACACACATATATGTATTTCCTATTTTGTGCTAAGCAATGTTCAAACAATTTATGTATGTGTATTACCACATTTAAACCTCACAACAACCCTATGAGGCATGTACTTTTATTATCTCCATTTTGCAGATGAGGAAACTGAGGCATACGGAGGTTAAATTACTTGGCCAAAGTCATACAACTAGAGAGTAATAAAGCTGGGATTCAAGTCCAAGTCACCTGGTCCCAGAGCCCATGTTCTTACCTGCTGTGCTATGCTGCTTAGACCTGTGGATTCTTTTGTGTGCTGAAGACAAAATGCAGGGTTGACTCGAATGTGACATTTTTTTCCTGGTATCCTCTTATGATGTCCTCACCATTTAAGGAAAGAATAATAAAGCAAGGAGACGCTGATTTTCAAGAGATAGGAACCTCTTTGTAAAATAAATTACTCGAGAAGTAATACATTTCTTTATGCATAAATGATTATGCATACACACACATTTACTTTTTATTTTAAGCAAAACACTAGGAAAATAAGAGTTGAAGGAAAAGCTTTCCAGTTCCTTAGGCTGACCAACCTTAGGGTAAAAACAATGTCTCAATCCACCCAAATTTGGGATATTAAAACCAAAATAGGTAATAGAAGAATCATGTTTCTCTTGTTTCTGATTTGAAAATGTAAGCATAGGGCACACGATGCAAATTAAACTTTTCATTTCAGAGTAAATTAACTTTCGTGAATGTATATAACTCTAAAAACAATGTTAATGAAGTAATTCTAGCAATGAGAAGGTTGGTGAGTAAGATGTCTCTGAATATCTTTATAACATTTGCTTTTTACTTTACTCAAAGCTTCTTTTAAACAAGGCAAAAACTTATAAAGTCTTTCTGGCCTCACTATTTATTTTAGACAAGTTATTATGAATTTTACCACCTCATTTTAAAATCTCTATTCCTAAACTCCAAATATTTCCCTAGAACACCATGTAATAAACAACTGCTACTCGCTGGTTGTTCCCACCCGCGTGTACATGTAGGCCTGGAGTATGTGTTTAGGTCCTCTGGTTTGGTTTTAAAGGGGCTTTTTCTTGCCACTGGCTTTCTCTGACTTCTGATGATCCAGGCTTCCAAGAGCGTGAGGGGAAATGGGACACACTTGTCATTATATCCCACTCCCAGCAGCCCAGGGCCTGCCACCCGGAAGGCAGCACACGGATACTTGCTGGGTGAATGAATAACCTTTCCAATGACCCTCAGCTCAGAGAAGCTCTTTGTAATGAGAGGCATTAGGAGAGAAGGCAGCTCCATCTCCCCCCAAATTTGAACTTAGGCAGGTTCTATGCCTAAATCGAGTGTGGGATCATGGACAGTGCTGGTGAGTGAGGACATAGGAGACTTTGTGGAAAACATCTATGAAAGAAACACTGGGAGAGACAGAGAAGACAGAGGAGGGGGTGCAGAGACAGAGCAACAGGACGAGAAAGACCTCAGACACTCCTGAGCTTCACGGTGCAGGGTGCTGCGGAGGGCAGGGGGCAGGAACAGGGACCACAGGCATCACCGAAGGCATTTCAGACGAGGCTCTGCTTGCCACAGCCTATGACAAGAGTTGCTTCCTGCAATGGAGAGAGGAATATTGTTGATGGAAATTTCCAGGGGCAATCTGAGGTGTAATGAAATAACTTTTCTAGGTGAAGAGACAATCTCAAAGTGGAACTTGTGGACCAATACCTATATGACACTCCCAATTTCCTAAATTCATCTTGGATGTATTCAAGTGTATTTCCAACCAAGGCAAGCTCATGAAGAAGACACTGACCCACTGAGGATATAGGGAATGGCTTTCAAAAGTCCAGTTTATTTGGTTATATTTTAAACTTATTATTGTGACATAGAGATGAGTTGTAAAGAAAGTACAAAGAATTCCTATATACCCATCCCCCAGCTTCCCTTAATGCTTAACATATAACCGTGGTACAATGATCAAACCTACGAAATTAGCATTGTTACAATACTATTAGCTAAACTTTTGGTTTCATTTGGATTTTTTCAGTTTTTCCACTAATGTCTTTTTTCTATTCCAAGATCCAATACAGGATACTGCATTACATTTAATCATTCTGTTTCTTCTACAAATTGTAACAGATTCTTGGTCTTTTCTTTCATGACCTTGACTGTTTTGTTTGTTTGTTTTTTAGAGTCGGGGTCTCACTCTGTGGCCCAGGCTGGGCTCAAGCGATCCTCCCACCTCAGCCTCCCCAGTAGCTAAGACTACAGGTGCTCCCCAGCATGCCAGGCTAATTTTTAAAAAAATTTTACTTATTTTTATTTTTTGTAGAGATAGGGTGACCTCGACAGTTTTGAAGAGTCTTGGTCAGATATTCTGCAGACTATTCCTAGGTTTGGGTTTGTCTTATATTTTCTTGTGATTAGACTAAGGTTATGGATTTGAGGAGAGAATGCCACAGAGGGATGTGCCCTCGCATTTCAGGGACTCTTGGTATCAGTGTCGTACTACTAGTGATGCTAATTTGATCACTTAGTTCAGATGGCAGCTGCCAGTTTTCTTCACCATAAAGGTACCTTTTTTTCCCTTTTATACTTTATCCATTGGAAGTGAGTCACTAAATCTGGCTCACACTCAAGGGGAGATGAATTAAACTTCACCTCCTAATGGCAGAAATCTCAAAGAATTTGTCGACATATTTCTGACTTGGGCGGTGCAAAGGCAATATATGTAACCAAAGTGTTTGTACTCCCGTAATATTCTGAAAAAAAGACAAAAAAACGCCCTGGTAATATTCTAGAGGAGATGCTTTGAAGCTATGCAAATTCCTTGTTTTTCCTAAAACTCTTATGCACTAATTTGAGTATTCATCAGTTGATGGTGCCTGCAGCAATGATTACATTACTCTGGTGTTCTAATGTTTTATTTGTCTCATTCCTTTTACCTTTATTAATTAGAATTATTCTTTAAGAAAGAATTCTTTCTTCTCTACCATTTAATTATTTAATCAAACATTTATTTGTGTTAGTATGCATGCTCAGATTTTTGTTTTATATGTTATTTTTTGGGTCACATTCCAATAATTTTTTCTTAAGTGGTTCTTTACCTTAGGGCATCATAGGATGTTTGTAAGGTCATAATATATTTTTCCTCCCCCAACCCTAGACTTAACCTCTTATCCAAGGAGTCTTAATTCTTTTATTGGAGGATGGTACTCAGACACCAAGATTTAAGTATTTAACTTTATAAGAAACTGCCAAACTATTTTTCAGAGTAGTTCTACTGTTTTTCACAGAATAAAATTTTGAAGTTTAGTTAAGTTCAATTTGTCAACTTTTCCTTTATAGATTGTGCTTTTGGTGCCAGATCAAAAAATTTTTTACCTTTTATGTTTGGGTTGATGATCTATTTCGAGTTAATTTTTGTATATGGTGTGAGAAATGTGCTGAGGTTTTTTGTTTGTTTCGGTATATGGCTATTTAATTATTCTAGAATCATTTGTTGTCAAAAGTATTCTTCCTCCATTGAATTGTCTTAGTACACTTGTCAAAAATCAGTTGACTATATCGTGGGTCTATTTCTTAACTGTCTCTTCTCTTCCATCTATCTATGTGTCTATTCTTTTGAGAATAACACACTGTTTACAACTGTGACTTTATAATAAATCTTAAAGTCAGATAGTGTGAATCTTCCAACTTTGTTCATGTTTTTCAAAGTTGTTTTGATGTGAGTGGAGGCTCTGTAAAAAGGTTTGAAAAGATTCTTTTCAGCAGTAACTTTGGCTAAGTTTAAGATCGTCTATTTTTCTTTAATTTTTCTGCAGTTTTTCTACCATGTGTCTAGTTTGAACTTTTATTATTGTTATTTTTTACCTGTCTTGCTTGGAATTCAGAAGGGACTCTAGATATGATATCTTATATATTTTTTTTAAAACTGGGAAACTTTCATCAGTTGTATCTTTAGCTATGGCTTCTCAGACTTTTCCTCCATTCTCTTCACCTGGAATTACTATTAGACTCAGTTTCTCTTAACTTTTAATATTTTTGTCTCCTTATTCCATATTGCAAAGGTAACCATTTAATTTATCGTGCAAATGAGATGCTTTTGAGAGTGAAAAAGGTGCTATGATGATTAAAATTATGTAATCATTTGAAATACAAATCTATTGGCCAAAGCTTTTGTATAGAAGACTATAACTTGAAAAAATAGAAGTAAGTCATCCATGTCTTCATTCCTTCATCTCACAACAAACAGATGGTCACAGTAATTAATTCCTCATAAGTCCTTCCAGAATTTCCTGTGTATCTTTTTCTCTGGTTCTTGGCCATTCGCGTTGGAATGAAGGTCATCAATAACTATCTCTTTTTATGAATCTATTTTTATACTATCTGTAGTCATTGATATATTCAATATTTCTTGCTTCATCCCTATCAGTTTTATGTCTTGGATGAATAAAAATTAAAGTTTTCCCTCTCCTAGTAAACTTCATATTTCA